AACGCAGGATCCCAGAGAAGGGACTGAGGTCCCACAGAGAAAAGAGCAACCGCCATTGTTCCTTCTCAGCCCCACCCCCACATACAATGTCAAAATCTAGCGATTGGGGTGCCCAGCCCTGGTGAACACCTAAGGCTCCGCCCCTCACCTTAACAGGAGTGACCAGACCAAAAAAGAGAGAGAGAGAGAGAGAGAGAGAGAGAGAGGAATGGCTCAAACAGAAGAACAAATCAGTGCCCCAGAACTCATTCTTTTGAGCGACCAAGAGATAGCTAACCTATCAGATGCACAGTTCAAAACACTGGTAATCAAGAAGCTCACAGAATTGGTTGATTTTGGTCACAAATTAGATGAACAAATGCAGGTTACCATAAAAGAAATGAAGGAAAATGCACAGGAACCAATAGTGATGGGAAGGAAACTGGGACTCAAAACAATAGAGCAGACCAGAAGGAAGAAAGAAACAACCAAATAGGAAAGAATGGAGAAATAAGAATTCAAAAAACCGAGGAGAAGCTTAGGAACCTCTAGGACATCTGTAAACATTCCAACATCTGAATTATAGGGGTACCAGAAGGGGAAGAGGTAGAGCAACAGATTGAACACGTATCTGAACAAATAATAAAGGAGAACTTCTCCATTCTGGCAAAGGAGATAGACTTCCAGGAAGTCCAGGAAGCTCAGAGAGTCCCAAAGAAGTTGGACCCAAGAAGAAACACACCAAGGCATATCATAATTACATTACCCAAAATTAAAATGAAGGAGAGAATCCTAGAAGCAGCAAGAGATAAGGGGACAGTAACCTACAAAGGAGTTCCCATCAGACTGTCAGCTGATTTCTCAAAAGAGACCTTACAGGCAAGACGGGGCTGGAAAGAAGTATTCCAAGTTATGAAAGACAAGGACCTATATCCCAGATTACTCTATCCAGCCAAGCTTTCATTTAGAATGGAAGGCAGATAAAGTGCTTCTCAGATAAGGTCAAAGTGAAAGGAGTTCATCATCACCAAGCCCTTATTTTATGAAATGTTAAAGGGACTTATCTAAGAAAAGAAGATTTAAAAAAAACATGTGTAGTAAAAGGACAGCAAACTCACAATTCTTAACAACCACACCTAAAGCAAAACCAAAAGAAACTAAGCAAACAACTAGAACAGGAATGGAACCACAGAAATGGAGATCACATGGAGGGTTATCAACAGTGGAGTGGGAGGAGGAGGAGAGGGGGAAAAGGTACAGAGAATAAATAGCTTAGATTGTAGGAGAAATAGACAGGGGGAGGGTAAGAATAGTACGAGAAATGTAGAACCTAAACAACTTATAAGTATGATACATGGACATGAACTAAAGGGGGGAAAGTGGGTGGGAGGGGGTGTACAGGGTGGAGGGAAGTGAAGGGGGGAAATGGAACAACTGTAATATCATAATCAATAAAATATATTAGAAAAAAAGAGACGAAAATTTTTTTCCTTTCAAGGTCCTAGGGACTTTGAATGTTTGGTAGACTATCTGGTCTTTGAATGTGTTTGGTAGAATTATTTTGTGAAACTATCCAAACCTGGAATTTTTGTGGGACAGTTTCTTAAATAACTTTCCCTATTTTTCTATGAAAACTGGTCTAATATGGTTAATTTTAGTAATTTGTATTTCCTTAGGAAGCTATCTATTTCATCTAAGTTTTCAAATTTATTTTTATAGAGCAGGGATCAATAAACTCTTCCTTAAGGGGGCAAAGAGTAAATATTTTAGGTTGTGACACCTATGTTCTATTTTACAACTTCTCAACTTGCCACTTAACACAAAAGGAGTCACAGCCAATATGTAAAAAATATTTAAAAAGAATAAAAGAGCACAGTTGTCCCAATAAACCTTTATGTGAAGGAAGAAAAAACAAAACAAAACAGGTGGCCAGTCAGTGGGCTGCTAACCCCTGCTAAGTAGTCCCTTATAATTAAGAAAATGGTTATTTTTTGGAAATAAAATGGAGTAACCAATGCTATTCCAGTAGTTATTTCATCCTCATTTTATATGTTCGTGCTTTCATCCATTTTTTCTTTTTGAAGATTTTATTTATTTTTAGAAAGAGGGGAAGGGAGGGAGAGAGAGGGAGAGGAACATCAGTGTGTGCTTGCCTCTCGTGTGCCCCCCACTGGGGCCTGGCCCGAAACCCAGGCATGTGCTCTGACTGGGAATTGAACTGGTTACCCTTTGGTTTGCAGGCCGGCACTCAATCCACTGAGCCACACCAGCCAGGGCTATCTTTTTCTTGAAGGATTCTGAAGTGCCCCCTCATCATCCTTTAAATGATGCAGTGAACACTGCCTTCCTGGCTAGAGAAATGAGAAGGATGAGCAGACGATTTTAACTGAAATTGCTATTGTATTAAAAGTAATGTTGCTGAAGCTTTGGGGAGGATAGATATGTTTCAGTAGTACACTTTAGTAACATTACCTCTCCTTTCCTAGAAATTAAAATCTCTTTAGTGTCGCAGGTTCGATTCCCAGTCAGGGTACATGCCTGGGTTGCAGGCCATGACCCCCAGCAACCTCACATTGATGTTTCTCTCTCTCTCTCTCTCTCTCTTCCTCCCTCCCTTCCCTCTCTAAAAATAAATAAAATCTTTTAAAAAATTTCTTTAAGAAATCTTCTCTTTAAGTAATCAAAAAAATTAAAATGTGGTAAAGATAAGTCGCTTAACTTGCCATGGATATATCAAAGGATAATCAATCTCTATCAACTGACATTTTCCCCCTTTACATGCATAAAATTATTCCACTAGCTCCTTTGTTAGACAATGGAAAAAAGTACGAAAAATTTATTTATTTCATGCCATATTAAATGGATCATGTACTTATATTTTGGTTTTATTTTCATATTTTTAAATTGTTGGTGAGGAGAAGGTAGGTTTAGAAAGAGAAAGTATAGAGATAAAGATTTTGGCTTTTGGTACATGTCTAATTTATCTGTGGTTCTGTTTAGATAAATATCAGTTACATTTTAAATATGATAGTTTCAAAGTACATCAAAATATACCCAGCTGAGGAATTCTGTACTAATTCCTTTCACATTAGATTATATACAATTCTACCAACATTTCCTATGAAAGGCATGAGAGGACAACCAAGGAGATCCAGTTGATCTAGTAAGAGAAAATAGCTAGGCAAAGCAATATGTGAAGTAGTCTAATAACTACTATTGAACATGGCATAATAAAATTATTATAAGCCAATTAGTATGCTATTAAGTATAACAAAAAATAGTATGTTTTGTTAAAATTATCATTAGCCAATCTCTAAAAATCACTTTCCTCAGGTTAATGGAACTTTCATTCATTCTACTCATTCCATAAATACCTACTGACACTCCAATTATGTGCCAAAGTTCTAGGAATTGGGGATATGATAGTATGTGTGACAGTTATAACTTATGAAACGTAAGTCTAACCAGAAAAATACAAAATTAAACAAGTATATTGTAAGTGTGGTAAGTATCTTAATAGAGAAGAAGTATGAGAGCTCCATAAACATAAAAGGGGTTCTAAATGAAGTCCTTAACTCTTCAGCTGGGACTTGAAGGGTAAGTAGAAGCCAGCAAGACCAGTGGGATAGGGACTAGTAAATGCAGCAGGCAAAGGCCAGGATTGAGAGAACACATTCCAGGAACTAAAAAAGAACTGCAATGTGGCTGGAACTGAGCAGGGACAGAGATGAAAAGACCAGTAAGATCCATTCTGTAGAGGCCCTGTGAGCCACTTAAAAACTCAGGACTTCTGCCTAAGAGTCATTAAAAGGTTTTCAGCGAGAGTCACACAATCAGATGTGTGTTTTAGAGAAATCCAACTAATCAATCAACAATAGTTGGATTGATTGATCCAACTGTCGGCGCCTGAAGAGCGCCAACTGCAGCAAAACAGTACGATAGGCTTAAGGGCAATGCACCAATGAAAAAGTTTGGGAGCCTTCAAGGCTCCATTAAAAAAGACTTTAAAAATGTTAGAAGATTCCTAGACATTACAAGTACACATACTCCTGAAGGGAGAGACGGGTTTGTAGTAATGTGGAAAGTAATCCTAAGGCCTCAGAGACTGGGTAGGTTTCAGATGGGACAGGAGCCATATGTGTCCTGAGCCATTTGAAAGAGAAAGTGGTTGAAAAAGGAATCTAAAAAGGCAAATTTGAGCTATATTATGTGGAAGGCTTCAAAAGTCTAAGTAAGGAGTCTGAAATCTCTCCATAGAAGGAAGAGCGACTGACAATTTCTTAGCAAATGAGCATGTTCAAATGATAATGTGATAAACAAATCAGGAGAAAACACAGGACCCCAGAAAGACAGGACCCTTTCTTTCACAGTGCTCCAAATGTTACTAACATCAATACAGTGTTAGCAGTAGGGAAGGGAAACAGATCTGGCAGCTATTACAAAAAAAAACAAATTTCATGGCAGAGTTAAAATGCCGGCCTGAATTTTTAGACTTTATTGTGTTTGTCCTTTAATTCCATTTTTTCTAGAAATTCATTATTACCCTATTTTTATAAAAGTGTGGCTCTGTCAAAAGTTAAAAAACAAAACAAAGGTGATCTTTCACAAGATAGTTTGAGAGGTACTAACAATAGAGTTTTTAGCTTGCACCTGAAATCTAACTACATTACAGTACCTTTGTAAATACACATACAAAAATAAACACAAATATGAATATGGACTGGTTATCAAAGGTTACGTATTTGCTATTAATTTTCTTAGTTGTAATAATACCACTCTGATAATGTAGGAGAATGATACTTTTAGGAGCTACACGCTGTTTGCAACTTACTAAATGGGTTCAGCAGTAAAATAAGACACACAGCAGGGGTGTCACAAATATAACAGTTAAAGTAAACATAAGCAAATGTTAACAATGGTCAAATTTAGGGGGTGGGATGACAACAATTTTTTAATAATGCTGAGAAATATTTAAATAAGTAGCACATAATGGCATAAAATAAAAGCAAGGTCTTTCATACCCCAAAGTCACTAAGTCAGTATTTTCTGGGATGACTTCTGGGTCCTCCTCTTCCTCAAGGCACTTCAGTTTATCAAGGCTAAAATAAAAAATAAAAAAGGAAAAGCAATCATGCATCTTGTCTACAGAGAGTCAGGGTAGTATCCTACATACATCGCCGAATAATTAAAAAGAAGTCACATAAAATCCATCAGGCAGCTCAGAGGAGGCCAGAATTCAAGGCAGAGATTTCTGTGCGGGTATTCTACACATAAAAGCATATACGGTCAACTGAAGGAGGCCAGCACTGTGTTAAGTGAAGAAAAAAATATTTTTAAAAAGTTATTTTTGTACTTTCACCCCAACTAAGGTACCTGGGGAGTAAGTTTCAGTAAGAGCATACCTGAGAGGTCCCCAAAGAGACCCCAGTTAATCAAGGTTTTAACACTCCTCTTCCTGCCTTACCGTTCCTCTATTATCAAAGCATCTGTCAACAGCAGGTACACGTCGCTGTTACTGATTGCTTTTCTACATTAACATGCACTTTGTTAGCGAATCGAAAAATTAATCTTTTATGCAGCTCTCTCTTCCCTTCATTCCAACTTGTAGAAATTATGCATTCCCATCACCAGCCCTCTCCCTATGTTCCCGGAAGTGTACTATAGGCCCTCCCAAAGAAGGATCCCAGGGAGCACAGGAGCAAGGCTGCACCCGAGTTGGCCCCAAGCAGCAAAAGCCCCTCGGCCCGCACTCACCCGCAAACTGCCCTCAGTTCGGCAGCCGCTTCCATACTGCAGCCCAGATCCCGGGCCACTGCTGCATCCTCCGAGGCGGAGTCCGCGATCCCTTCTTGCTCAGGCAGCGCGGATGCCGGTGGCTCCTTCAGCGACAAATCCCCATGCCCGCGCAGCCGGCCACGCCACTGCTCCCCGAAGATGCCCACGTGGAAAGCACGCGTGTTTAGTTCGGGCACCTCATACTCTGGAAAGTTGCAGCTGCCACTGTTAGGGACCGGGACCTGCCCGCTGCTCACCCCGCTGCACATTGGGGCAACCGAACTGCCTTCAGCCATGTTCCCTCCACTCCCTTCCCAGCATAAGCCGGATGATCAAGGCCTTGCGGAGCATGATGGGACTTGTAGTCGCACGTGGCCCCAGCCGGTGAACCGCGAGGCTGCACAGGCCAAGCGTCAGACACTACATTTCCCATCAGGCCCCCCGCCAGCGGCGATGCGAGCTTCTGAGTGCGGGTGTGAGCGCATTGTTCTCTGCTCGGGGCGGCGTGGGAGGCAATTAAGGTTTTTCGTCCTCCGCACCCATTGGGTTTTGGCTACCAGGCCCCACTGTTAAGTAGCCTGCTCTTTGCTGGGTGGGGTGGCCTGCACTCACCTTTGGGTCTCTCTCTTTATCTTTCTTCCGCCCCAGGGTGCGGGACTTTTCCTTCTCTCCAACGTTGGTGGGCTGCTCTGCTGCTTCACTGCCTCGGAGCCTGAGATACGGGATGGTCCCGGGATAGGGAATCTTCGAAAGTGGGCTCCTAGGCGTGTTTATATCCACAGGCAGTGTTACACACACACGCACACACACACACACAATGGCGTTAAGTGTCTACTCGTCTACTGCGCATCAGACACTATACACATCATTACATCACAATGTTTTTAGGGTCCCCGTGTAACTTTTGAAGACGGAGTTAACTGCTAGGTTATGAAAGTAGGATTCGAACTCAATGTGTCTCGCTTCAGATTGAGACCCTCCATCTCTTAGAGACCCCAAAGAGAGGAGGAGGACACATAGAACAAGCTCTAATTATTTATTACAGACTTGTGCAACAATCACAATCAATCTGAGAACATTTTCACCGCCCCCCCAAACTACCTTTTAGCTATCACTCCCTATCCTTCTAACTCCTCCAGCCCTAGCCAGCCACTAATCTTTCTGTTTCTAGATTTATGTATTCTAGACCTTTAATGTAAATGTAATTATATATGTGGTGTTTTTGTGACTAGCTTTTCCAATTAATGTAATATTTTCAGTATTTATCCACATTGCAGCATGTATCAATATTTAATTTCTTTTTATGGCTGAACAATATTGCATTATATGTATACTGTATTTTGTTTTTCCATTCATCAAAATGTTTGCAACTTTGGGCTATTATGAATAATGCTGCTACTAAGTTATGTATAATTTTTGTGCAGAGATATTTTCACTTATCTTGGATACATGTATATCTGTATCCACATACCTAGGAGTAAAATTACTGGGCCACATGGTAACTCGATGTTAAATAATTCGAGTAACTGCCTTACTGTTTTCTACAGTAGCTGCTCCATTTTATACTACCAGCATTGTATGAGGATTCTGATTTCTCCACATCCCTGACAACACTTGTTATTATCTGATATTTTCATTATAGTCATCCTAGTGATAGGGAAATTCAAGGGTTAAAGATTTTAGTCTGAGCTAAAGTTGATAGGCTTAAGTGATTAATGCATGTGGAAATCTGTTATTCCAGGAACTGGAATGCACAACCTAAGTGATTCCAGGAGGTACATAAGCAATTCAACCTTTGTGCCCCAGGGGGTTTATAAGCAATGGAGCCAGGTGTTCCAGCGAGGGAATGCAGATAAAGAATTGCTGATGAACAGACAAAGAAATACTGGAACTCTTATCCCATTAACCTTGTTTCTCAAACCCCTTACCTACTCATTCCTCTTATAAAAAGGCCAGCTTAAGATGAAATGTTAAGATGGTTTTTAAGCATACATAATCTGCCAGCTTCTCAGATCGCCAGCATCTGAATAAAGCATCTGTAAAGATTCAATCCTTGTCTCTACTTATTGGTTCTGGTAGTGACAGAAAGCATGAATGCTGACTTTTCCAGTTTCACTAGTGATTAATGTTGGCAACTGCCCTGCCTGGTTTCAGGAGCTGTAACCCCCCATGGCTAAGGCTGAGTGAGAGACCTCTGGACCAGAAACCTCTAAGAAGACAAGTTTATCTCCCTGGCAGGAGCCCTGCTTCTGCTTCATGCCTTGCCCCCATTGCTTGGTCGGTTAGCCAATGATGGGTAAGATCCCTCATGGGAGGGGCCACTTAAGACAGGCATGATCACATGGGAAGGCCCTCAGGGAAAGACTTGGGGGGCTGTGGAAAGAGGGGGTGATCGACCCTTGCCCCTCAGCTTTGACAAAGCCTGAGTTCTCATTCTGCCTGAGAGAAGTCTCCAATCTCTCAGCTGCCTTGTCTCCTCTGCCTGACTCAAGCCTGTAACAATGAGGAGGGGTGGTGCAGTCCTGTGCTGGAAACGGTGGACTTCCTGGGGTAATTAGGCCTAAGGAAGCATATGTAAAAACCTGTGAAACCTGCTTTGCTGAGGATGCTTTTAATTAGATTATAAAGGCCCAGGCAGGAAATGAGTTTGGCCCCTTAAGATTTGTAGTTTTTTTAGGTGATAGACCTAAAAAACTCAGTGTGAGCCCTTTTTAGCTCTTTGAATATTATCTATTTGTTTGATCCTCACTGCCAGACAATGATTAATAAGCTGTATCTGTATTCCTACCCCCCAAAAACTAATAAAAGCCTGTTCAGGCAGGGCCGTGAGGGGCTCTCCTCTTGCGAGAGTAGCCGTGCTGTCTCTTTTCCTCCACATAACTCAGTAGTCCATGTGAATTTCTCTCGTGTCTCAACCATCCACAGTGCCATGGACACTGCAGGCTGGTGTCTGTGTCAGATTATGAAATGGTATCCTGTGGTTTTGATTTGCATTTGCATGATGACTAATGATATTGAGCATCTTCTGCTTATTGACCGTTTGTATACCTTCTTTAGAGAAATACCTATTCAAGTCCACTGCCCATTTCAAAATGAGATTATATGTTTTTTATAGGAGCCCTGGTATTTATAAACATCTGTTGTTTTTGTCTGCCTAATATTCTGTTTCTTAGAACTTACCTTCTTTTGATCCTGCTAGGGCTGCCAATCATAGAGCCCTTCTTACTCTGGCCACAGTAACTGACTCAAGGATGAGCAAGTGACTCCACTAGAGCCAATCAGAAAATCCTCTGTGATTTTATTTATAACTAGAAACTCTCCCTCCCAGAGGATCTAAGGATGTGCCCTAGACACAGCCTGTGTTGACCAGTGGAAGAGTTAGAAGGAAGCCAAGAGTTTAAATAGGCAAAGGTAGAAGATGGAGAGAGGTCATGTGACTTGGAATGATTGTGGCTAAGGTCATCTTCCTCCCTAGATTTGGGTGTATGTGTACATACACACAGGGCTATTTTGAGTTGCAATCTCAACCTAAAGACTAATAGTCTTCCCCTGGGCCTGTAAGACTTGTTTGGAATCTCTGCACAGGAGGGAAGCTCTCATCCAGATAATGAAGTCACACTTCAGGTGAGAAGAACTCTTCACATATGAGTATATCTGGAGATTTAATAATACCAGTTTCACGAGTGGAGACCACAGTAGTTCTTGAGCAGCAAGAGGTAGGGGCAAGACCAGAATGAGCACTGCAGGGGAAGGTGGCTAGTTGTCACTGTGAGGTGTGACATTGGGTAGCAGAAGCTTGAGGTTTTTGTAGTTAGTGCCAGAAGCAATCACAACACAGCACTCAGGTTAGTCTTACCAATAGCTAATCCTTGGAATTAGGGCAGGGGTACAGAATATTCACTGCAGCATACAAATTATTTTGAGCTGAAGGCATTTGAGAATAGGCTACCCCACCCCTGCCCCAAACTTCCTTATTTACCTAAATGGCAAGCCTCCCAAAAGAACTCACTTTTCATAAAGCCCTTCTCTGGAAATAGGGAAGATTGACCTGAAGTGGGCACCACCCCTAACAGATGTCATTATTATAAAACTCCCATCTATTCTCCTGAAGGCCCATTTGTCTTTCCCAAAAGTCATTTGTTCTCTCCTAAGTGTCCTTTCTCCCCCTTCCCTGTTTAGAAGTCATTGGTTTTCCTGTAACTGCCCTTCTTCCCCTTCCCACCTCCTATTAACATGGTAAATAAGCTCAAATTCTAAGGGCCTTCTAGAGTCACATTTTCCATGATCTTTTCCATATATCATGCATATATGAATAAAAAATCTGTCTATTCTCTTGCTAAGCTATCTTTTGTTGGTTTAATTCACAGGCTCCTAATGATGGAACCTAAGAGGGCATAGGAAAAGTTTTTCTTTCCCATCAAGGCCATGGCAAAGGCAGTTTCTGACTCTGTGGCAATTTAGCAGATGGGAGTATTGCTGGACCTGGCACTAGTACCAAACAAGAACAGAAAGGAGGTCGAAAGATCCCAAGGTGCCAGTATAGGTATAGTCCTTGTGATCCTGGGTGAGCTTTGTACAATTCTTGAAGAAGAAAAAAGCCCCTAATGTTCCCAACTGGATGAGACATGTTAATATGCCAGGACAAGTGAAATAGGGAAACTGAGACAGTTAAATGGCCAAGCAGTTTACAGCAATCTAGTAAATTGCAAAACCCTACCTTCCATAACCAAATTGTTATACTTCTCTCTAACCATCACAGGATGGTTAGGATGGTAAATAGCTTAAATCACCTTTCTCAGGGAGATACATAAAAGAACCCAATTAGTGCCATTTGTACTAACCACACCCAAAGATAGGTGAAGTCAGGGGAATAATTCTCATTTTGGTCCATCAGCATAAAGCTGATGAATATTCTATTGAGATCCTCCCCAAAGACCTCTAAAATTCCTACCTTTAGAAAACAGATAAGAGCCCTCCTGACAAAGACCTAGCATGGGTTCTCTCTGGAGCACACCCGCACTTCTCTTCTACCTCAAGCGTGAGTCTTTACTTTTCTCCCCTGGACTCCTAAGGGCCCCCAGGAGAATGGCAACTGGGGGAGCAATGAGCTACAGCAGCTTGTCCTGAACTGACCCCTTCAACCTGTCTCCAAGGCCCCCTTTTCTCTGACTTTTCAGTAAGCTAACAGCAGCCCCACCTTGGCTCACTTCTGTAACTGCAACTTTTATTTGTCAGTGAGTCTAAGCAGCTCAGTGTGGTTCACTTCTTTCCTACAACTTTTCTAGGGAGCCAAAGCTAGGGTCTCTC